AATGTTAATATTCTGCTCAACGAGCGCGACTACATGTTCCAGACAACCGCCCAGGACACAAGAAACGTCCCTCTTCCATTGACCGAGGCTTTCGTCTTTCTTTCATAACCTCCTAATGTGATCACTTTCCCTAAAAAACAACAACTTGTATGGCTTTCCTCATGTCACCCAAACCACAAAAACATCCGCCTCTGTTCTGTCTCTTTGACAATCGGTTGATGGGGAGACATCCCTCCACCTCCTTCCCCCCCCCATGCCAATTTGTGATTAAGTAGGAGGAGTAGAGCTATAGAAGAAGGCTGTCACTGAACCTCTGATGCTTTATGGCCGCTTCACTTTGTCGTGCATCCGTCGTGCACACTGGCCCCCGAATGGGAGTGTCTCCTCAATGTGAGGCCTAAAAAAATAAAATAATACAGACTCGCAAGATGCCCGTCTACTTCACAGATAGTGGAGCTTTTTTTTATCCACTTTTGATGTCAAAGTCAAATATTGTGGATATATAAACGTCTCGAGTTTTGAGGGGGGGAAAAAAAGTCACATATATGGCTTTCTTCCCTGCTTTTTATTTTTGATCTCTCCTTCCTTTTTCCAGGAACCAAACTGCTTAAGTGCAGATTAACCGGAAGGATGAAGTTTAGCATCGTCCACCATCTGAAATGATATTTTGTGTGAGTGCGTCTTCAGCTGTTGTTTCACAGAGGCACCCGATTCGAATAGTCTCCGTTGAGTGGCGGCCCTCTCTGAGACGGACGGACGGTCGGGGCGGGTTATGCGAGGGCCTGGATTGAGCGAGGCTTCGTGCGTCTGCGGGCCTATAGGGAAACGGCTTAGTCATTTCTTTCGTCATCCTTGGTTGTTCCGTGCAGCTCTTGAAGAGAGCAAGGAGGCGGATGTGCCCTGTAATCAGGAGGTAAATGGGATTTTTATCGCTAATGTGATTACTGGATCATCACGTAACTGATTGTTTGTTCCCCGCAGTGCTCAGAAATGCTTCATTGTTTTTATGCTTTATTTATTCCAGATTCACTTATTGCCGCAGCCGGGAGGGGAGGAGAGCGTGTTTGTGTAAACGCGCGTGGGTGCGCACATGTATTCAACGCCAGGGTTTGAGTGCAAAAGCTATCAAGACTTCCCAGTGTGTGCAGCGGCATTTTACGAGTAGCCGCGGAGGGTTGTTGTTTCTTTGTAATAAGTTCAGTGGTGTGTGTTGTTTTTTTGTTTGTTTTTCTTCCTTTCCTTCTTTTTCTGCTAATGTTTCTGTGTCTGCGTGGGCATCCCACGAGCTAAATGTCGCTGCGTGTTTCTCGGTTAACAGAGTCCAAATCGTTATTTTTTTCTGCGTGGGCGTCGAACTGACCGGCGCCGCTCCGTGCGGTAGACCGCTCGATGCCAGAGCCTTTCTATGGCTCCCTCTGCCTCCATCTGGGTCCCTTAATCTCTTTTCTATTCATAGCTAATTTACACCAGAGCTTCGGCAATAAGCGTAAATGTAACCTGAAATAAACAATACCACAGGTTATCCAACGCCCCCCCATCCTCCAACAGCTCGGGCTTTCTGGCTTTTAAGGAGCGCCGTTTGCCAATTTCATCCCATCACAACACCGAAAAACACGCACACCTACTGTCTGCGTGCCACGGAGAATGTAATGTGCTCCGGTGCCACTGTGCCTGTCCCTCTGCAGGTGGTGCCCTGCCAACCCGCGTGACGCAGCAGCCGACTGGCTCATTCTCGCTCTGTCCACTGGATTTAAATGCGGTGTACCAGCATGAGAAGTAAGAAATGCAATACATGAACTCTGTCTTTCTCTGCTCGGCGATTGACTTCATGTTTTATTGCTTTAAAGGACACCAGAGCGTTTCATAATGCCAAAGTGGTCCGTGTGTGAGAGTTTGAGTGTTTTCAATTTTGAGTTTCAAAGCAAGCTCCAATCAGGATGATTGTATCAGCCAGATAGTTGCTTTTATCTTGATTTCACTTGGGTTATGTACAATTGGGAAGTGTGTGTGTGTGCCAGTTAATTTGTTTGTCTAGCTAATGTTCTTGTCCTTATTTGAAGGTAATGGGAACATAAAAAGTATCTTTCTGCTTCTCCATCCGTGCACGTTGTTCATGTCCTCACACTCATAAACGCACAGCACACCGTTCTGTAGCAATGACCGTACCTGCAGTATTTGCTGTCTTCTATTTCCCACGGAGTGAGATTGAAATCTAAATATAATGCAAGAAGGCGCATTCTGTCTTGTATTTAAGAAAACAATAACAAACAAATGTTATTAAACGTTATTGATTTTTTTTTTTGTGTGTATATATATATATACATACATACATACATACATACATACATACATACATACATGCATAAATGTATATTTCTGTTTTCAAATTTCCTTTCCTTTTGCCTCATGTTTTGATGGTTTTAATGGTTTTATGTGCACTTTGAATTGCCTTGTTGTTGAAATGTGCTGCACAAATGCATTGGCCTTGCCTTCCTTGGTTGCCTCTTCTCGCGGTGTGTCTGAAGGTGCTGACTTGCTTAAATTCTCCTAAGCTGAGACCTTGAAGTGAAGGGCACGCTGTAGGCACAGGACATTTGCACATTTACGTTTTAGTCGTCCATCACTGCAGCTTTACATCCACGACGCCTCTCAGTGCAACTATTAATAAGATTGACTGATCCGACTATGAAAAAAAATCAATAGGAGAGCCATTTGAGTGCACTTCACATTGATTTTAAGCGTACTTTAGGTACTGTACTAACAAGTAGCAGGATTTTAATTCCTAATTTAAAGCGTGCCCTTTTCCAACTGCAGACAATGGGTTGAAACAAAGTAATGTAGGAACACAAAGGCGCTATTAATGTAACTATGTGGAGGAGAAGAGGATGGGGAGAGAGAGCAGGAGGGACAGAGAGAGAGAGAGATATTTTCTTTTTTTGCTTTGAAGAGTCAAGTGCATATTGGGGTTATCCAAAATCGCATCACAATTGCAATCAGGTCGACATGCAGCATCCAGGCATGCAACTAAAGGCTAGCAATGCTCAAGTTACACTTGAGCAGAACCTGTGAATACTAAACACTGTAAAATACTCAATATTTCATAAGATTTCCTTTCGCAATGAGTTTTTTATTTTTATTTTTTTCAAATCACACTCTCTTTTTTGTATTCCTCCTCATTTACATAATGTTATGCTTGGTTGCCTGAGCCCTTTGTCAGATGCACTCAGTGTAGTGGCCCCTTTTCTCCCTGGGATTTAAAGAGAAATGACGCTGTGGCTTTACTCTATATACCTCTCCCCCAGACACCCTTTAAAATTAACACAGTCTGATCTCGATGCTCGGCCTTTATGTAAACGTTGCCTTCATTCATCATCAAGTCTTTTTTTGCTGTTATTCCTCATGGCAAGTGCAAGAGGCCCCCTGCGGCCCATGTTTCAGCAAAGATCCTGTTTACAAATCATCGTCATTTATCTCTTATCTCCATAGACGCCCACGTAACCATTACAACTGTGATCTATATTGGGTCACCTGACCAGCATAAATACTGATGCCACTGAAAAAAGAAGGAACAAGCCTCCGCGACACTGCGAAAACCATTGGCTCCATCTCCCCCCGGTCTCCATGTATATTCAAATGCTTCGGTGAAGCATAGTTAGAGTTGGATGTTTGGCGAGTACATTTTTCACCACCCAAGTCAGGGATTTCAGACTGAGGAATCAGCCCAGTGGGATAAATCTCAAATTAAAAAGGCATGCGGATCTGAAATATTTAAAAGAGTATCTCTCACACACCCGTGCAATGTCGTCTTCACCCGTCCCTCTTTCTCAAAGCTCTGCCTGTATGGTGTGTAGGTGTGCACGTGTGCGTGCGTGCGTGCGTGTGTGCGTGTGTGTGTATGCTCGCTGCTCGTATCAGTGGAACTTTAAAGCGAGGTTTGGCTGAGTGATGATGTAGTTTTATATTGCGTGTGTGCGTGCCCTCTCTCTCTCTCCACTCTATCCCTTATCTAAAAATCACAACCCAAAGATGGAGTACATCAGGAATCAGCCACTTTCTCAGCAAAAAAAAAAGTAAATGTCTGACGCGAATGCATACGCTTCACACACATCAAGACATTTTCATTTTCCGGTCTTATCCAGCTCTAAACTGGTTGCATTAAGTCTTATGGGACGTGCTGGAGATTCAGCACGTTTTATTCGGATTCTGGAATCACAGAAGGTGTTACCACCACTGATTGGAATTGCAAGGCAGCAGTCCTTAACCCTTAGATGCACGAGTGACTGGACCCTACACTCTTCCATAAGTGGGTCAAAAATGACCCATATTAGAATCTATGTTTTTTTATGCCATATTTTGTCATTTTGGTTAAGAATAATCACTAATATAATATTTAGTATTATATTTAGGACCACAGAAGAATGATTTCATGTCTGAACTGCATTCAGTGAAGTCTCATCACTGAATGCAGTTCAGACAAACTACCTGTTTCTGGCTGTGATCATTGCACACAGGTACATTGCATTTCCCACACCTATTGTTGACTTTGCGATCTTTGTTACTTGGGCAGATCTGACACCTCTTTATCTTTGGTTAGCCCTGTCTGCTTCCTTCCTTTGGCTGGGTTGTGGCTTTTGTCACCCCACACCTTTCCATTGCTTCAAGAATTGGGTTTGCAGTTGGGGGCAGCCTTCCAGGAGACTCCTCATGTGTGGTGTGACAAGCTCCTTTGAGAGCTCTTTGAGGAAGAGCCGTCGTTCATTGAATTCTGGGTGCTGAGCCGTGAAAAAGGTGTAGGCATTCAGGGTGGCAATGTCAATTATGTTGTACCACAGCACCATGGGCCACCTCTGTGTTTGGCACTTGCAGGTGTAGGTGCCAACCATCTGGTCAGTGGTGTCTACACCTCCTTTCGTCTTGTTGTAATATGTGATCACTTCTGTTTTTTTCTTTCTGCTATTTTCATCCACTTCTTTGTCGTGGTGCATCGTGCTTATAGGAGCCCAACATCTTTTCCTTTCTTTCTGACAAAGCTGACCATGGTAAGGCTGTCGTTGAATCCAAACTCTTTGCTGTGAACCTCCCTGGACTTGGAAGGCTTCATCAGAGGAGGGATGTCTGGCTTGTTCTGACGTAGAGTCCCCACAACAGTGGGATCCTTCTCCAGGAGATGCTGCGCAAGAGGCACACTGGTGAAAAAGTTATCCATGGTGATGTTGCGACCTGTGTTTCTCAATCTACTACACAACTGCTGGACAATGTTTTCCCCCAGATTCTTCTGAACTTCTTCCCCTGGTTGTCTCCCCGTGTAAACTATACCATCTATTGCATAGGGGATGCGTGCATCACAAACCCAGAAGATCTTTAGGCCGTATTTGGCGGGCTTGCTTGGCATGTACTATAGAAACTTGCACCTACCCCTGAATGGCACAAGCTGTTCGAAAACAATCTTCCTGAGGGTTGACACTTCTGATATAGTCTGTGTGGTCCACAGTCAAATGTATTCCTGACAGCCACAGTTGATAAGAATCAAAGGTTCCCATTGGATTCCATAGAAAATGCATGCGGGTCATTTTTGACCCAATTATGGAAGCTTGGGGTAGTAATACAAAAACTACAATTTCTTAAAATGTATAACAGGTAAGTTAAAAATGTAAATGGAATTATATCAAAAACATGTTTTTTGAGGAATACCTGGAATATGAAATGATAACAATTTTTCATTACGAAGATATTTCAAGAAAACAACCTCATCGGGTCATTTTTGACCCACTTGTGCATCTAAGGGTTAAGTTTAACAGCACGGTCTGAAATGAGTTCCACGGTGATATTAGCCAAATGTCAGGCGTCAGTGGGGCCTCTCTTAGTGCTTCGCCTTTTGTAGCTGTTTCTGACGTGGAGTTTTTTCGCCCATCTGAATTTTGTCCTGTGATGCATTTTGTTCTCGATCCTCGCTTTCATTTCTCTCTTTTCTGTCATATCCCATCCATGTGTTCTACTCTCCTGAATAGGAATAACACCCCTTTTTTATTTTTTTTGATATATTTCTTTGATCTTTGTGCTTCTCCAACAGCTGCTTCAATAAATCGTAGGTGGCCCGAGTCAGTTTTCACACCTTTCTTGCTGCCTGTGTCTTATTGCTTTACCGCTGGAAGGGACATTTTGTTAAATCTCTGCTATTCAGCCACATAATTAGCCCAAACTCCTCTGTGGCCGAGCTTTTCCCAAGATGCAAAGTCCCCTGAGCTGCGTAATGTGGACGAGGCGGGAAACAAGCAGAGCTGCAGCTCCGATGCAAACAAATAATTACCCTTCACTTGAAAACACTCAATTAGCCTCTATTTCCAAGTAGAATAATGACTTTCCCCAACTAAGCGGAACGTCGGCTGTAATTAGTCCGGACGGTGGAAGCTCGGCGTAGACGATAAGTACACGACTGTTTTATTAAGCCAACAGCGAAAATATCACAACGCACCAACGAGCTGGCTGTGTATGCAATCCGGAAGCGACGTGAGTTGTGTGAATAGGCAAAGTAAAAAGGAAAGGCTCCATGTAAGAGGAACAGGACACCGGCTTGGCTGCGCGTGCGGCAATCAATGCGCCGCTGACACTTCTCTTGGCACCGCGCACGCCGTTTTCGGATCGTGTGCGTCGCCGTGGATACCTCGCACATCGATTTGCTCACAGTAGCATCGTCCATCAAGGTTAGCAAAGTCATGCTGCATTTTGCGGGCTGTCAATCAAGGGGCTCACTGTTTATAGGGAATAACCGTTATTTCTGTGTCTCTAACCAACCATTGATGGTAGTGTTTTTAGTTTTTTTCCCCCCTAAAAGATGCATCCGATTGCCGCTAGTTCCATTGAGGACGTTCTGCACATCTGTGCACTGGGGAAGCATAAGGGAAGGAATATTTATTTTCAGCTTCCATCCACACACACACACACACACATACTGACATTAAGATACACGTCTACATGATTGCATCAGTCGGTGGGAATCCACACTCGTACTCTCTGCTGCCTCTACGCCGCCACATACGGAATGCAGAGAAAAAACACCATGACGTTACTTTCAGTCACCTTGAAGTCTTAACAACCGAGTCTGACTGATAACGTCGGCAAATGGCTTGAATTCCCCCGTTGGAGTGACCTTTTGCAGCGGAACATGTAGAGGCTTCTTTTTCTTCTTTTCTTTCATTTCCCAATGGTGAAAAGTGTGGTGGAAATTTGTGGATTTAGCCCATGTGAGAAATCAAAAGTATCTTGAGCTTGCTTTGTGATTAAGTATTTATTACTAACTAGAATATAGAAAAATGATAAAGAATACAGAAATCATCAGCACAAGTCGTGTTGTAAGCACAGACAGACGTCAAATGACTACAATTCAGCTGAAAAGAGACAGATGTTCCTTCCCCCAAAAGGAGCAGGAAGATCTGACCAAGTTGAAGAGGAGAATAAATCTATAGGGACATGTTTCGCAAAAAAGTTATACTTAATACTTTATATAACAGAGTGTGTTCATAATTAATGCTGGCATTTAATGGATAGTTTCATCAATCCAGGGGTTTTATTATGGAAAAAGAACTCAAGATGAAAGGCATTAATATGGTTAAATGTGAAGTGTAAACGGAGGAAGAAAATGAATTAATTATCCGTCATAAATGATATCTTTAAACACAGAACAAGGGCTTCTTTCATTGGAGTTTAACTACAAAATGATGGTATTATCTGAGAACATAAACTTCCCTAACTTATTCCTTTGGGTTTAGTGAAAATGAGAAAAAAAACTAAATAGGAGGACATTCTCTGCTCTTATAGAAGAAGGATTTTCAGTAACCGGAGCTGTTATTATTCTCCATTCTGTCCTCAGCTACATTTTATACTGTAAAGGTATCATCTTTACATATGTTAGCCACCACTGCAAGATGTTCTGCATATTATTATACATTATACAAGTGGAATAACAATATTCTTAAATTAAATTTAGTTAATTTGATTTTCTATCATAAAAGGATTATTTAGTGTTGGCCATGTTCATTGGACTTCATCCAAATAATTACATTTAATAGATTAGCGTTTTTAACTTTGGGTTATTTTCAATTATATACAGCATGCAGCTTTTTTAATTTCGTACCTCAGGGCTACTGGAAGGTAAAGGCAAGATGGAGATGGCTGCGAGACCCCCAAAGATATGAGACATGAGTGTAAAGGTCAGTATTCCTCTATAGCCGACTCACAGCGTAGCGGCAGGGTGACTAATGGCCCACAGCGCACTCAATTATTATCACCAGCACGCACGCACACACGCACACACACACACACACACACACACACACATTGTGATTATTTCGGGTTGCGTCTTTAGGGATGCATGACTCCACACATGTGCAGCTACACCAACACTTCTATCTCCCATCTTAATTTCCCAAGACCCAAAGACTGTAGGTCTAAATGAGCACTCTAGGAAATAGGTTTGTCTCGCCTCCGTAAAACACCACGGCAGTGCGACGCAAACCTGCCTCCTGCCCCCCTGCAATCAATGTGAAAATTGGTCCCACTCATTTATTTGGTTACAGCCGTCACCACATCTAAATCTCCATCTCAAAGCTATTTCCTGTGATGTTTTATTGGAGACGGGGTTTCAGTAAGTTCAGTGACTTTCTTTTTCAACTCCAAGTGTTCTGTCATTTGATGATGTGGTGATTTAAGTTCTACTTTCTGTGCAATGTTACCTGTATCGCCTGGAGCCATATTAACGTATGTGGCCTATTTCGCCTTACGTTGGCTCGATGTGTGAAGGGCTTTGTGTAAGTCATCAAGTAAAGAAATGTATTTTTTATAAGTTGAGATTTGTTTTCCTGCTCTCGCCCCATTTTGAACGATTTAAGGATTGCTGTTCCGCAGAGCTCTCACTTCAAACGCAGAATGATTCATTTTTTCCCACACGCACAAGTTGTGTGCGACCTGAACCTCCGAAATGGATCATTTTTCGCCGAATAAATTGACGATCACTCCGTTTGTGTGGAAATGAGCAAGGTATTTAAAAAAAAAAACCGAGTCTTAATTACAGATATTTCACAAATCAACTCAAATTATGAGGCGCCAGCCGGGCGGCTTCGTATCCGTGCTGCCAGACTTCAGACTTCCAGTCTGGTTCGGCTTGCAGGATCGGCCCGCGGGCCCCAGGGGAGCCTTCCATCCTGCTGCGTCTGCTCTTCTCCCACCTCACCCACATCCATCCTGCCTGGTCGGCCCGTCAGAGCCTGCGTCTCTTGATACCCTCCTTCCCCCCCGTCCCCCATCTCCTCCTCCGCTCCACTGGGCTTGTGAAGGTGAGCCAGTCCCCAGCGGCACTACTGTACAGATTGCAACGCTTCCACTTCAAATGGAGGCTTCTCCCTCGCGCATAACTGTGTAAAGAGCATCAGGGCTGATCCTTCCCGTCTTCTTCCTGCGACTTCTTCTGTTTTTGTTATTTTAGGGCTCCTGCGGCACATTCACTTACTTCTGGCTGTCTGTATCATTTACTCTCAGTCTTGGGTCTTGGGTCGGCTGGCCTTGGCCGCGATGACTGGAGGGGGGCGCAGACTGCTCCGTGTGTCACGTGAGAGCAGAGCTGCCAAAAGAAAGCCCCCCCCTCCCCCTCCTCCCCCCAGAGGTGCCGTTTTTTTTTGACAGCTGTCCTCCAACCGCTTGTCCTTATCTGTTCTTTCATGAGCGAGCTCTGCAAAGGGACAAAGACAGCCGCACGTTGAAGGCTCCAGTCGAGCTCCGGGTTGATTGATGCTCGGTCTAATGGATGCCTCTAATCACTTTTGAGAGATTGTGTCCTTCTGCTGTTGTGTAATGGATGTTGTTCTTTTATACCTTCGCGTATATCTGTGTGTGTGTGTCTCACATTTTATTCTGTCTCCAGAAAACCTCGCGCTCGTGACTCTCCCGTGGCCAAGGCTCGTGCAATATGTTCTGGGTGCCAATCAAAGAATACAGTTTTTTTCTTCTGCAGTAATAGATGCTCCTTTAGCTTCACGTGTGAGAAGAGAATGCCACACTCAGTTTCTCAAATAAATGTGTCTTTTTTTCCAGCCCTTTTTTAAATGACCACGGTCTGCACATTTGCTCTCGTGCTCACGAGTGCTTTGGGGGCGGCATTGAGTGTTATCAGTAGCTGAACTCATTGCCTCTCCCTTTATGTCTGTGCAGGTTTTCGGTGATTATTATCACTTCAGGCATCATGCCGTGGAGAAGAGGTCTTTGTCCGGCCACAGGGGGACACACATCCGACTGGAAAAAGAACCCAAGGTAAAGCTGCTGTCAGTTCTCTGTTTTGTCTTGAAATTGACTCCACTCCAGTAGATTTATTATTTGCATTTAGATGTTGACTACAGGAGAAAATTGGCATTCATCGCTGCAAAGTAACAAGAACATTTCCAGTCCCTGAATGTTGTTTCCATTTGGACATCTTGAATTTGCATGCAGACCAACCACCAATTTTATACCCGGCGCACTATTAAATCTGCGCTTCAGTAGATGCATCCCAGATGTAGTTGAGTCAGCATGGAGACGCCAACAGACCAGGGATTAAGAGATAAGCAGTCTTTCTCCTTGGGAAACATGTCTGGCAGTATCCATTGTCATTTATCCTGTAGGTAAAAAAATTTGGATAAAAACAAATCCACCTGAGCAGGCTGACTACAGGAAAAATAACCCTCGGAGGAACACTAGATGCGATCTTTCATTCCCCCGTACATACAAATGATTGTTAGATGGGAGAATTATAGATAACCGCATCGCTGTGTTGTGAAGGCAACAAGAGATAAGCTGAGGAAAAATAGAGTTTACTCCCAATACAGGCTCTCATTACTCGGGTCATGTGATGTAAGCAACGCAGAAGAGATCATGAAACTGAAGAAGTTAACCTTTTCATTTCAACACCTCAGCGAGGAAATGTTTTTGTCTGTTTGGACCTGAGTGGGCAGAAAGCCACAAAGGTCTCACTACCAAAAACGATACTCCGTGTGTGTGTGAATCCTCTGTGGCTGGAATAAATAACGTGGGCCATCTGTAGCGACACAGCGTCTGCCAAGTAGCTAACCAAGTAGGTCTGTCGGCTTCTCCACACAGCGAGCCAAGCCGGCCCGAGGAGACGACCACTGAAGCCCCGAAGACGCCGTTAGTGAGATACGGCGACATTCAGGGAGGCCGGCGGTGTTGGGCTGAACGAGTGGTTCAGAGGCGCCCGCTACAGCACAAAAATGGTTTTGTTGTTGGTAACAAACGAGAGCTGGAAGTGACCGAGGCAAAGACGTTTGTCGTTGTCACGGTTTCAAAAAAATGTACCGTTAGAGATTTTAGTGACAATGACAATGTTTCTGGATGAGGCACAAAGCGTGTTGAATGTGTGTGTGTGTGTGTGTGGGTCTGTGTGACCATCTGATTCTTGGAAAAAAGGGAGAAAGAAGGTTCTGCTTTACTTGGTTCAAAGCAAATACATTTAAGAACGTGGGGTAAAAGCGTAATGGTTGGATTTAGATTTGTCAACGCTATGAGCTTTGAGCTCGCTTTAGTGTTTCCTCTCTCATCCGGCTGCCGACTCTCACATTACCTCCTTTGTCTCTTTTCCACGGCATCGTGGTGCTAACGTGCCACTTATCACCGTCGCCTTTGAATAATTTTGCAAAATTACATTGGCAGCTGTGTCAGCTTTCATCATTATGCTTCCCTGGGTTGTTTTTTATCCTCTCTCTCTTTTCCCCTTTACCTTCTCTGTGAAGGATAAAATTGATTTGTTTTGGGACGGCTACTGTTGCTTTTGTACAAACCGCAGGGTAAGGCAGCTCCCTGCGTGCGGTGTCTCTCTCTCTCTCCTATTTGTAAATTTGACATTGTGCGTTTTGAGGCTGTGCTGTTAAAGGATAAGGGTGGAAATAATATATGTGTGTGTTGCTGTTAACAAATCCCATCAAAGGACCAAAACCAACAATGCTGGTGGATTTTTTTTTCTCTCTCAATCCGTAGATTGTCTGTCGTCTGAGCTCGGTGCCGCGTCCGCTACCAAAACGCTATGAGTCACAGGAGGGTCATGGAAGAATAATGTATTTGTTGGGGACTATTTTCAGCAGCGGATTAAAGGCACTAGCAAGGGTTGAAGGCATTGTCCCATGTCAAGTTCTCACATGTCGGCGGGTTGTGGGTACTTGATTGAATGATTTGAAAGAAACGTCTAAACAAGCACACTTTAGTTTTCAGGGGTCCTGATTCTCAGGTCGCGAAACATCAAGTTCCAGTAGAAGAAAAGTGGACTCAAAGTGAACTTCTGTGCCTCATTCTGTCGCAGTGTGTTGCTCATTGATGGGTTTTCTTTAGTCTAACTAATGAAGATCATATATAAGCAATCATATATACAAGTAAGGTTTTGAATAAACTGTCTGTTGGATCAACTCATTATTAATTTGGGTCTTTTTGGGGGATTTGTTGATAATACAAAACAAACACCACCAGACTCCTCCTTCTAACATGTCATCTTTCTCCATCAACCGTGGAAACAGGTTCACAGATACAAAGCGCATTACACACAATACCAGCATGCCCTCGGACCTGGACCACCTCCAGACCTCATTCCTGCCTCATGATTGCTTCCCTCTGAGGTCGCGTTTGGCTCCGTGTTGTCCGCCTCCCAGATCACAGGGTGCGGTCCAGGACATTAATAAATGTAATGAAATGAGATTAATGTTAATTTGTTATTGAATAAGGTGAATGGCTTCATCCTGTGGGGCAACGTTTTAATCTTGAAGCTAGACCAACGTCGGAAGCTGCACTTCAGCACCGAGCGCTTCAGACTGTGAGAGCACGTAATCATGAGACAAGCCCTCGCTTCTAGAAACATCGCCGACAGCCCGAGAGAAAGTTGGGGGAATGAAAAAAAAAACACACAAAAAAACATAGAAAAGGACCTGAATACCTGAATAACAAGTTGGATTTTCACAATCCTCTGGGCAATGTGGAGGAAGATACCTGGTTTAGACACAAGTTGCTTGAGGACTCTTGACCTAGAAGCAGAATCGGTTTAAGCTTTGTCACCTTCAGCAACAACTCATCGCTGACAGTAATAATGTCCAACAGCATTTGCTGTAAGCGCTTCAGAGGAAGTATCTGTTCTAGCAGCTCACTTCAGCTTTCAAATATTATATTAATTCATTTACTAAATCTGATTGGCTTCTACTTTAGAATATGGTTTATAAAAAGCAATAACACAGGTACTTTTATTTGTGGTTCCTTAATGACTTCATGTATCATTCTTACATAAAATGTGTTACAAACTCCCTGCATTTATATGATTTTAGTGATCAGTTATCAATACACCTCCTCAAATGTGCCAAATACTGTATATGTTTGATTGCCTGGACAATAATGGACAAATTTGTCTATGGGTGTTGTCAGGATCTCCAATCCCCCCGAGTTGGTTGATGAGAAGAATCACAGCACGTTGATCAATTAAAGTCAAAAGTTAACATGTATTTAGAAGAGTAAAAGATTACATGAGCAACTATTATATTCTAACTATTGCTTGCAAGCAGGAGGTCCAACACACCAGCACGTATCACGGTGCTCTGTGGAAATGGCGTCTCCGAGCAGTAAAAACGCTGAGTTTTTATACACATGTGGAGGACATTCTCCGTGCCAGTTACGAGAAGCTACAAAGCAGGTTGAGATAAGAACCCAGGTGAAGCTGAGGGTAGCACACGCACACACAAGATCCTCCTCAGTGCAAATCATTATTAATTGACATAAAGTAAAAAATATGGATCCGGAACTTTCGTACCGAATAAGATATAAACCAAGGCCATGAACAGAAGTCCTTTGTTTTGCAGCGTCTATGAGATCGAGTCGACCGTCCTCCCTTCTCAGTGCGCAGCTGCAAAGCAACATTTTGTATCATGCTGCTCCTTGCACTTCAGGGTCAAATACAGGACACTTGAGACACGGCTTTAGCACAAAACAATGTTATAATATATTTTACCACTACATGCATCTCACAGTGTCTTTCATCATTCTTGCCTCACAGAACAAAGTACCTGTCAAGATCTATAGATACAAGCATGGCAGGAACAAGATCTCTTAACTGGTAACATTCAATTATTTCCCATTGTTTGGCTGCCGGCGATAGCTTCTTTTTTAAAATAATGTACGTATAACCAGAGTGTGTGATGACATTTGCCATTCTCGGTACAAGCCTTTATTCTGACTCCCAGCCGGTCCTGTGCATGTCCCTGCAGCCTCCGGGACTTCAAAGGCCCCCTTTCCGACACAGTCAGTCAGCGTGGGGAGCCACTTCCCCTCAGAATGAAATGAATTAGATCTGCCTCACATCTCTGCCTCGCTTTCTAGATACTGCTTTTTGGAGCACAGCTGGGATTCATCTCCACGTCTACTGTCTGTGGGACAATGCAATATTTTGGGAAATTAGAAAAAAATGGTAATTTCACAATAGGATGCGAAGATGTATGTGTGAACTATGGATGATAGTGTGCGTGACTCGCAGGTCCAGTGGGCAGAGCAGCAAGTGGTGAAGAAGAGGAAGAAGAGGGACATCTATGAAGACCCAACAGATCCAGATTTCCCCGAGCAGTGGTACCTGGTGAGCGGCCTCTTGTCTTGATAGTCTACACGTAGTCTGTCGTTGTAGCAGAGTTGACGATGACATTTCTAAAATATCTCACTCAGTGTGTAATATACAGTAATACATATAGAGCAAACACATTAGTTGGTGCAGTCCGTAGAATGGTGAAAGTTTTTCCTTTTCTGTATTCCATTCAGAAAGCCCTTTTAGGATTTTGAAGCCAAGGAGAACATCCTCCTCTGCATTCAGATGTGTTAATAGCAGTATTTTTTTCATATTTCAGTCTCTGCTCTGCAATTATTTCTAATTAAACCTTGATGGCCTTCTTATTCACTCGCGTATGAACAGCTCTCAATAGTTTCAGCTCTGCAGAATAATCTTATTTGAGACATATTCATTATCCCAGCAAGTCCTTTATTTCCCTATGGTCAGTCAGCATGAATGGAATTTCTGTCTTTTCAAGCAAACATAGAGGCTTTCCGGGTTATAGCTGCACTGTATAAACAGTCAAAAGTACAATATAATGTATTCCAGGATGCCTGGTTCAATGGAAAATTAAACGTAAGGACAGATTGAACGGTGAACTGTGTGATCTGTGAGCCGCTGATAGCAAACGGTTCTGGCTCTGTCTGTTTGGTTATTCACACCTTTTCTCTGATACCCTTAAATTAGCCATAATCTCCCATTTTTACCTCTGCCGCTGTCAGGGATTAATGACAGTGACTACGCCAGACAGATCACCGCTGAATAGAAGTTGTGAAACCAATTCTGCCATTCAGCACAAGACGTCTTATCATCTCAGTACTCACACCTTTAATTCTCATGTATTTAGTATTAAACACGGATGTGAGTCGAAAGCCAAACAGTAGTTTTGGTTTAAGCCATACGTTCTCACACTGACTGTTTATTTGGCATTTATTTATTGTACTCAGGGGCTTTCATCTTGGCTAATTCTGGGGCTTTTGTTTGTTGCAAACATGTACTTAAAATATGTATTGAACGGCATCTCTGCCAGTTCCAAGCCTACATCCAGGAACTCCAGCAGCCCATGTCGGGGGCAATGCATCTGTTATGACTGGGGTCATATGTGTATAGTGTTGTTTCCTTTTGTGTCTTTCTGGTTTCCCTTTCCTTCATTCAAACAGGGATGTGCCACAACCATGCGCGGATTGGTGGACGGTCTCCCACCCGTCCTGTGATTGGCTGCAGTACCTGCATATAAGGGAAGCCAAGATGGCGTCCGAGGCAGAGCAGGTCAGAGTGGGGAGAACAGCAGCAGCACACAACCATCGTCCTCCTCCTCCTCCTCCTCCTCCTCCTCCTCCTCCTCCTCCTCCTCCTCCTCCTCCTCTCCCAACCAGCCACCTGTGTTATATTGTGAAGCCTAATAATAAGTATGCCGTTTTTCTTTTGAGTTGGTTTTCTCCTGTTTTAAAGTAGATAGGTAGGTAAGACTGGTGTCATTATTTTTCTCCTTTGTTTTGGTAGGTCAGCATCTTATTTTTAGCTAGGATCGTTTTTTGGTTTTGTCCCGACGAGCTATAGTAGTTTGAGTGAAGAAGACAACTTCCTTAAGAGTAGGGCTTACAGCTACAAGGGCGAGTCGTATTATGCCTATTTATTAAGTCGTGCGTTTTATGTTTTCGCCAGCAGTGGAACTACTTTATAGTCACTGTGTATCTCACTGTGTATCTCACTGTGTATCTCACTGTGTATCTCACTGTGTATCTCACTGTGTATCTCACTGTGTATCTCATCGTTATTAGCGAGTAAGTTCTAATATTGATCATATTCCTTAAGGTTTTGGAGATGACTCGTATTTGTTCGGTACACACAGTATGGCTTATCTTCCCCCCAATATCTAACCAATATGTACCAATATGGTTACATTCGTGACACTCATTCTAACACTTTATTGAGTTTAAGGAACCTTTTGATTCCCAGGTTTGATTCCTTTTGATTAAGTTCTTACCCGGGACCTACGTATATGTTTGACCTGTAACCCCTCCGTCGAGTGAGCTCGTCCTTACATACCGATTAGGTCCCTAATGCCCTTGGGGGATGACTGGTAACTCTATGTATCAAGATAAGGACACTCACTCGAAGCGGTGTTCTTGTCATACATTATATTACATTACATTACATTACAGGTCATTTAGCAGACGACTTACATTACACTTTAAACCCATGGCTTTTTCACATTTTTGCCCGGGGAGCAATTAGGGGTTAGGTGTCTTGCTCAGGGACACTTCGACATGGAACATGGGGCAGCCTGGAATCGAACCAACAACCTTGTGCTTCCCAGCACATCTTCTCTAACCCCTGCGCCACCATCATTCAGCCCCTGGGAGGAGGCCCCTCAGTGGAAAAGAATCTCCCGGAAACAAATGGTCTTTTGTTCCCCAAAAAGGAGAATTTTTATATACATAAAAAAGCGAAAAGGTTTACAAAAATTGAATAGAAAAACAATAAAAGCAGTTATATCGTTCAAACCCTAAAGGTTAAAAGAGCTTGACTCTCCGGCTTCGTGTGTGAGCAAGAAACAAGAAGTAGGCGCGTTTTTCTCTCTACTTTCTTTTCTGTTAAAACATCTTGGCTTATATACTTGGTTTATTATATTGGGGATGGGCAACGGCGAAGCCGTGCTTTTTTTCTACCCCAACATACCTGGTTTACTCAACCTAGCTTTTGTTCAATAAATATATCCCCTATATAACGCATAGTGTTTGTGGCTACTTGGGAGACGGGGAAGATTGGGGCCTATCCATGTTGCACCTTAGCCACCCCTAGACTGGGGCGTAACACATCAAAATTGGATTTGAAGTGTCGATGAATCACCTCTGATTTTCCCTTTTCTTATGTCGTGGTGCTTGTGTTTGTATTGAGCACATTTGATTTTGACTTTGAGTCTTTTCTGCGGGGCAAAGGCCTTTGCCGGATGATTTGAGGTGTTCTCACAGGCACAGACCCTTTCTGTTCTCCCTGGTGTGTCACTCACCACAGACTGACTCGCGTCTCTTTTCAGTCGACGCCATTTTAAGGCATCAAATTATTTGTATGTATTTTGGCAGTTTGAAAGTTGGATGCAATAATCACTAATATTAGTTCATATGTTCATGCAGTAGGATAATATATAGGCAGAGATGACCTATTTCTACAGCGGTACACTTCTCTACAGTGTCATTAACAAAATATACAAATTATTTTAAAAAGTAATTACTCCTTAAAGCTAATCCTTAAAACCTTCATGAGGGAAATCTTGATTCGGCTTTGAATAAAGATCTTATATCTTACTTAACCGAGCATAACTGTGACAGCGTCAGGCTCTAGAGCAGCCATTCCCAAAGTGTGGGCCGCGAAGGTAATGCACGCGGGCCGCGAGAGGTCATTTACAATAAATAAATAAAAAGTTTTTAATTTTCAATTTTGAAACGTTTGAAATTAATATACAAATATTTATGATGCGGCACATTAGTTATGTGAAACATTAATTGATGAAGCACAAACGAACAGATTGGTTAATCGGTTGATCCATACTGGTTGTACACGGTGCTCAAGGCGCTCTGCCAAACATGCCAAAGCTCGTCTACGACGGCGAGATGCTGAGCGGCGCTCAAGCGCGTGAGATGTGGAGCTTGTTTCAGGGCGCGTCGGAGAAACAAAGCTGTCGTTCTCGCCGAACATTTAATGAGATTAAAGAGCGAGAGACGGTGCCCTTTTCTCTACAGTAGCTGAACCATCTTAACGGGGAAAATAAGTTATTCTAAAAGCAGCCGAAGATTTAAGGCGTGGATGGCGAGGGGGGCGGCGGGAGCGAACGCACCTCGCAGCATCGATCGGACCCTGAAAGCACCGTCTCCACCTCTGCACACCCACCCGCCCCGACGCTAAACGTTTGACTGCTACGGCGGCAAATCACCAGCCGGTCTGCGAGCTGGACGCATTGGTCTTAATGTGCCGGTAATGATGGTAAATGATGGTTGTAGCTGGTTGTCATCTACGGTGCACTACGGTTACATAAAGGTGTCGTTTGTGTTTTGACAACGTTTTGTCTCATAATTTCGACTTTCTATCCCCTTTCTTCAGTGCGGAAATGGGCTTTTGTTGTGTGAACGCATCACTCCAGCCAATCCACAGACGGGGTTTGTAACCAATCAGATGTAGAGACCATGGTGACTGGCTCCGCCCCCTTACTGTCAAAAAGAAAAACAGCGAGCGCGTAGAAAACTCCTTCGATCGCGAGGAGAGACAAACCTTGCGAGCAACGAAGTTCACGGCGAGCAAATAACTCGCTCGAGACGGATTTTTGCCGGCGGATGTCATTTAATCATCCCTAGTTTATGTTTTGATCAGAGTTGTGATTGAAGGTTTGGGTGGGCCGCAAAAGATTTTCAGATTTCAAAGTGGGCCGCGGCATTCTTGAGTTTGGAAACCGCTGCTCTAGAGGTTAAATGTCTATGTGCTTAACTGTAAAAACAACATTTTAAACGTGCAGTGTCGAGACATTTTTCTAGGCTTGAGTCGAAAGCGACGCAGCCTCCCGCAGCGCCCCAGGCTGCGATTGGTCCGCTAACTACGTCCTTTACAGAGTCTCACATTTCCGCTTTCATAGCCCGATACCGCCATTATTAACACGAAGAATGTTTACGAGAGAACGGAGCAGATTGAAGAACTTTTGTCGGAAGAAATGCGTAAATATGACCGCTTATACAAGCCGTCATTGGCGGGTTGTGGAAACGGGTTGGATTCACGGAGGGAGATCGCCGCAGACGCCGGTTTGCCGGTCGAGAGGAACAAAGTTGTGGAGGAAAATACGGGACAAATGATGAAAAAAGCAGCAGTGGCGATGCACGGGGCAATAACGTCTATGATAAATAAATAAACAAATAAATAAATAGACGTGACTCTCTAGGTCGTCTTCAACAAAACACGTCACCATGCTTGTTGTTCTGGCGGTGAATTGCTCTGCAACACACGCAGAACCATGAAGTGAAACGAGTGCGACGACGCAGAAACATGAATTGAAACGACGCAGAAACATGCGCCGACCTTAAATCTCACTTTTTTAAATTGTCGCCTCAGCAAATCTTCCTATTAATTACGCTGCGTAGCGCCACCCAGAGGCAGAGGGGAGTATTGAGCCTTCATACCACCAACAGCGCGACGACACACACACAAACACACAAGTTGGCTTTTTTTTTTCACCAATGAAGTGACAGTATGTAAAAAATGTTTTTTTTTACGGCACACCTGACAGCCTAACACTGGTTGAAAAAGACTGGTTTAAGGAGTAGAAGGCATCTTTCAAATAGTGCATAGATGAACAAATGACCTCTGAATTCAGTGAGTCGAGAGTGCGAGCAAATAACTTTATGAGTCTTCATTTCTCCTTTATCCATTCACGCTGTTTGCGCGTGAACGGATATTGGAATTGGAAAACAAGATAATGATATTTTCTCCATTTACCTCTGCACACTGTAAATAAATGCTTTCCACTGTTTACACTCAGTTTATCAATTATTGTTTACAAAGCTGCCAGCCGTCGTCTTGTTTATTCTGCCTTTTTGTTTTACAGACAGCCAGGTGGTTTTGAAGTAAAAAAAAAAACAGGAATATAATTAAATCACAATAACTCCCGTTTAAATGCAATGCACGGTGAAATTATCCCGTTTTATAGCAATTTTAAAAATAATTACTTTTAGTCTTAAAAAAATAAGCAATGTTTTAATTTATTGTTACCACAACTAATGATGTAATTACTTGCTTGAATGCGTAAATGCTTACGGCTGACATTAGGATTAGACCAACATTGAGGCTTACTGCACATTAATAGACCGCTGACCGTTGAGAATATTGACAGCGTGCGGCCTGTGGTCACGTCACACCGCGTGCAGGAAAACGTGTGCATTCCCCAGTAAGTGGTGGAGCATTGACTTGGCGCCTAATCCTAAGGAGGAAAGATAAAAGCATTACTTCACTCGGTCCCTTTGCTCCATCCGATAAGATAAGGGAGGTCACGTTGGTTTTGTGAATAGTGTCTCTAGCCCAGCGGGCTTTCATCGATGCTTTGTTGGGTCTTTTCTCCACGGCTCGTCTTCGAGACGAAGAATCGTCTTTTGCCATCCTCTGACTCTCACTCTGATATTTACCAACTTCGCTTCTTTCTCCCGGATGAGGCTGCATTGTCGTTAAGCTTTTGTTGTTTTCACATGTCCCTCGAATGAGCTCTTTAGACAACAGGCGCGCGTGACCCC